ATTGACTGCCTGTATGCGTTCGCCCGTGTAGGCCGATCGACAACCGTGAGCGCGCCCGCTACCTGTATGCTAGCTCGCTGCTAGCTGTTCGTTAAGCGCCTCCTAAGTGCAGCCACATTCTGATTAATGATACGGAGTGAAGGAAATTACCGACAAATACAAAGAAGAAATGGATGCTCATTTTAACTTATTAGTCGTCGTCAGCCAGCCATACTCAACGCCAAAGGTAGCGACCCCCGAGGCTCGAACTAGCGACTTTGTTGGTTAGAAGTCCAAAGCTCTAACACTTGCACCACGGGCTAGTTGCCTTGCCAGTTTTGATCTGAACTATATACAATGGTAGACTGGCGCTCACCAATCAGTTACAGCACGAGCTGATGTCGACTAATAAGCATTGATATATGAGGAAGCAGCCCAGAAAGAAGTTTGGTAAGATTCCCGACTTTTATGTATGTCATACCGTTAAACACGCCTAGCCTCGAAAGCCGCCTGCAACAATGAAAAAGCACTTTGCGAAGCATCACACTATAACGGGTGAGGAAAAGGTGCGAAGAAGAGACGCCCACGAAGTTACATCGAGTTCGCGCGAAGGGACTATTCGCCGGTAAAGATGCGGGGTCACTGCTGGTAGCGACCACAAGAGACCTTAACTGAGGTAAACGCGTGTATAATTGGCAGTAAGCGCTGTTCTGGAGGTATTCGGTCTCTGAAGTGGGCGAATAGAATAGATTCAACTGTTCAGTTCTACCGCCACGGATCGTCACGCGTGGAAAAGTACCCTCGGGAACCATATTAAAGCCGGATAGATCGGTTATTATCGCAGCCGTACCAAGAACAAGTACGAAAGTGCTGTTGTAGATGCGTAGTTCAACGTTTTCACTCTATACATCCGTTTCCAGACAATATATGAATTGATGCATTCCTGTAAATGTCAATAATCACGGCTAGAGACATACGTCGGAGGATGTCAAAAGGAGTTCTGCTGAGAGAACGAGTTGACGCTTGCAAAACAACTGCGTCTGGCGTCCATTATTGGCGCAATTATGCCACGCCAAAGATCGGGGCTGAAAGTCCCAGGGCTCTTCAAGTGCACCTGCCGTGCGGGGGTCGATTTTTTCTTTAGTTTTCGCTGCAATTGTTGGCGATCACGCGATTGGGGCGGTGGCGGCGGCTGTGGTGACGGTAACTTTGGGGTGATTGAGACTGTGTGATGACGAGTTAGTTGTTGTCATGTGTCTTCGGCTGACACACACTAATGCTCTGGTTGAGTCTATTGCGATCCACTTATCACTGCACCCTCGGTGGGAATACCAACACAAAAGCTGGTAGACTTAGGGGCGAGATCGGTGAGTCAGTAAGAAGATATAGCGTCGGAAAACGACGTGTTTAGTGCGAGGAAGTCAGCTTTGTAATGTCAATGATCTCAGAAATATAACGTGTTTTCAATGGTCATGTGGCGAGCAACCACTGCTCGTGCAGGCGATTCTGCCGTTTTGGGCGTTATCGGGCATGACTTCCCAGCACTAAACTTATGTTTGAACAGTGGGATCAAGCCACGTTGTGAGCCGCGTAGGCGTAACTGGGCACCAATGCGGATCTCAGGCTCACTCGGTGAAGCCTCGCACGCATGTATTTAGGGGACGAAGCGCGCGCGTGGCACGTGTAAACGGGCAGTCCGTTTTTGTCAGTGCCGCCCAGCTCCGATCCTACTGATCCTAGAGAAACACATTAGTCGTGGCAAGCGTGATGCAGACGCTTCGTGGGTCTGCTTCACCCTATCGGATGAAGGTGGCCCCGAGTGGAGGGTGATCCCCCGTGAGCTGGCGATCTGTCTTCCCAACTGATGGTGATTCAAATGCTAGCTTCTGTCGAGCTCATTAGACGTGCGCCATCGGGTGT